ATGCACTAGTTTTGTAGTTGGTATTGGAGTTTGGATAATTAGTTTTGTTTGATAAGTTTCATTATTGATTAAGCTTTGTTAATTAGCTATATTATGTATTTCATGATTTCTCTTTTTCTATTCTATACTATTAGTATGTCAGGCTAGATTAAATAAGGGTAGGGAGATAAATTATGCATTAGATTATTGTATTGTGAGAATAGAATTGTTATAATTATTGGGTTTTATGTTTATGTCTTGATTGGATTGATAATTTGGTTTATTGATATGAACTAGTCGAATTATATTTTAGACCGGCCATCTTTAGTATAATTTGTTAGTTTAATTGCTAGAGTACTACCGTGTGATACGTAATTGTCCGGGTTAGTATTCCTTAGTAGCACTTAGGTATTTGATAGGTGACTGAAACTTGTCCGATATCTAAGATTATCAACCCTTTGAGTTGCACAAGTCCGAGCTTGTGAGATTCGTGGCTTAAGTTAACTACTTCCTTGTTATTAATGCGGCTAATTAATCAAGTCTAGAGAGCTTGTTCTAGATTATTAGTTAGTTAGACAATATTCCGAGAGCTCGTTTGGTATATATGCAATTAAGGGAAGTTTTGAATGCTTGTTTGTGTTCCTTGGTTAACATTAAGATATAAATGTAATTCGTATAATTCGATGAGCAATAATTGATACTCCAATGCTATAATACATCTCCCGATTCCCTATTTCATTATTTTTGATTTTATCGTATTTTAATTTTTATTAGTTTGCTTCTCCGTGCTTTATTTGTTATCTAGTTAGTAGTTTATTTATTAGATCATATCATTGTTTCTTCAAAACAGGGGTTTCTAACTTACACAAGTAATAATTTGATAATCCAATTCTCTGTGGGATCGACCCTAGCTTACCCTACTACATTTTAGGAGGTTTTAGTTAGGTTTATATTTGGTAGACACGCGACAGTCGTACCACTTGAATGTTACACTTGTAATGATTCATAAAACTTTCAATGACATCTTGCTAAGTTACACTGTGCTTGGCATCTAGAGAATAAAACTTTTGTTAGCAAGCATGCTCTAAGGAGAGAGGGAACACCGTAGTCCGTAGGGAAGAGTGTTACATTTAGTCCTTTAAGAGCCATAGTTGTAGAGAAAGCCTTCAAATGGAACATTAGGTTGTCAGTAGGCTTGAACTTTGGTATATCAACAGTGGAGAACTTTTCTAGGAGCTTGTCCTTCATTGCCAAAGAAGTGGCAGGTTGTTCCACATAGGTGAAGTCCTCAAAAATCTTGCTCACTTGCTCTTTGATCCTGTCAACTGCAGCAACAGTGACCTTGGTTTGTTCCATGGTATTGACTTGGGTAGTGAGTTTTGCATCATGGTAGAAAGTTCCTTGATGGACTTGTGAATTCCCTCAATATCTTCCTTAGTGGCCATTGGAATGAATTGAAAGTAAACAGGAGATGGTGATGGAGATGAACTTCGTGGAGACGATTGTGGTGGTTTTCTTGTACGCCTCTAAGGTATAAAAGCTTGTTGTGGCAGTGACTCGAATCGTACCAATCTACCCTTCCTTCTTGACCAAGTACTGTGAAAAAAAAACAAATTCATTTAATGGTTTGACTCAACATTCCAAATAGGAAAAAAAGGGAGGAGATTTTTTATTTTTTATTTTTAAAAAAAAGACAAGAAAACTCCACTCATTCTTTATTGTGACGGAAAAAAGAAGACACATGCATAAACCTAGTGTACGATCATAAACGACATGGTGCACGACTTGAGTCGAAAATAAAAAAGTGTGTGGACTATACTTGACTCGTGAGTGATTAAGTGATGTTATAAGACTTGTGGTATGATCGCATGGCTAGACATGTAAAACATTGTCCAAACGACTGATGCGAGGACTAAAAAAAAAACACGGAAGACTTGAGTCGAAAATAAAAAAGTGACTGGACTATTCCCTGGGCACCATAACACGGCACTACTGTCGTGACATGGCAAAACGCACCGTGGTGCGGTACAACTTGCCGTGACATGGCGTTGATTGCCTTGGCCCGGCAGTACTGCCGTGGCACGATAATCAGCTCCAGGTTTTGTTTTGTGCGTTTTTTCTAGTTTTTGTCAATTTTAGAATTTGCGCTAATTACTAAGTGAGTATGGTCCATTGGCATTCATTAGAAATAAACCAACACCATAGAAAAAGAACGATCATTAAGGTTAGGATTAAATAATCAAAGATGCACACATTGAGCACATAGTCATAATGATGCAATGAAAAAGTTCGCAACCTATGGTCAAGCTCTATGTTCCACTATGGTCAAGTTTATTTGGTCTCAAAAGGGTACCATGGTTAAGAGTTTGGACGCAGCCTCCCTTGAGGGTGTATGCCAACGAGCGGCTTCGCAAGTTCGTGATTAAATCAAACTCGACTCCATGGTTCGGGTGGATTTAATAACTCGGATGAACCCTTATTGTCATGAATGTTTTCGGGTTTATAGAGCTTAAATCCCCCGGGATTAAATGTATGTAGAACACATACAGTTTTTAAAAAAAACAAAGGAAACTAATAACGAGAAAAAGAAAAACCACTAGAGCGTTTTTAAGACTGCCGAGCCATGCCACGGTACAAAGCGCCGCGCCGCGGTACGTTATGTCGTGTCATGGCAATTTTTCCGTTGCGCAGCAGAAATAAAAATGCAGTATTGCTTTATTTTTTCGATCGCGGTCAGGTTATTTCGATTTTTCCTACGAGGTGAACCTAAATAGGACGTTAAAACGTCAATGCATATGCAAAAAATTCCAAATTAATCATAGGAATACGATTCATTAATCTTTCAAGTCTCATCCACTCATCTCAATTAAATACCGATCACTAAAATCGATAAAAAAGAATGCTCCCCAGTTGAGTCGCCAAATTGTAGGCGTCGTTCGAAGCGCGCCTACGTAAGCATATTGTGAATATGCTTTGCACTCATAGGAAGTGGGAATTGACATACGATTAGGGAAAAAACAAAGTAGCGAGCTGCCAACAAGTTTTTAAGGAACTTGTAAACCGTTCACAGATCATTAAAAGGCAACCATGAAAAGGGACAATGATAGGCAACAACGATTGACCCGTGAAAGTTACACCCCATTCATAATCCATGAAATTTTTAACTCCATATGGTTTGGAACCACGAAAGGAGGATCGGGGATGATGGTACGAAGTGAGTCATGGAGTCACATTCGCCCGTATTCACCTCTACTCGATTCTTATTGTGAAAAATAATTCGTGCGATCTCAAAGGCATACAAACAAAGATTCAATTTGCTCCAAACTATTATTAAGTTAAATTGGTTGAATGTTAATGCACTCATATAATTATAAAATATTGTGATCACTTGATTAAACAACAAGATTAAAAAGGAACCTAAACCAGTCGTCTAAATTATCTTATTAAGCATTATATTCAATTACATATTTCCTTTAATATGGTGATCATAAATATAATAATAGAATCGTCATTAATATTAGAAGCAATTTAACCATAAAAATAACGGTTAGTATGTGAAAAACACAACAAAAACCGTTAGAAATATAATAGGAACAAAAGGAACATGATTCCTTACTTTGATTGCTTTTACTTGCAACTATAAAACTATAAACACGTTAGTATCTTCAAGGAAAATAATAAAAATAATGGAAATTAAATGAAATTAAATTAAAGTAGAGTTGATTTGGGGCCAAACCCTCAAACAGTTCTATCTTTCACGCCTTGGTTTAAGTGTAGAACCTCGGGTAGAGTACGGACTCCGGGGAGTGCTTAAGGGATGTATGGTGAAAGAATAAGGGAGGCTAGTGTTTACGCTAGAGTATAAGAGAAAGATAGAGAGAGAGAGTAATTTTTGGTGCCCCGAAACTGAGAAATCAACCTCGTATTTATAGAGGAAATGAGCAGGGTGATGCACGAAACCCTAGAAATGAAATGAGCCGTGGAGAAACCCTAGAAAATTGCCTCGTCACAGATAGGGGTGAAAGTAATTCGGATTAAAACCAAACCGAACCAAAAACTAAACCGAATTAGTAACTCGGTTTGGATTTATTTAAAATTCAAATTGGATCGGTTTGGAAAGATTAAAAAATATAGATTACGGTTTGGATTCGGTTTGGTGTTTTAAAAAATTGAAAACCGAATTACAAACCGAAATTTCGATCTAAGCCCATTTTCTTTTACAAAGTATATCAACCCCTTTCCCATTCCATGTATAAACCAAAATAAAAAAAACCCTAATTCTCAATTTTCCTTTCTCAATATCTCACTCTATCACAAAGAATGTAGTTAACAAGAAAAAGGTTCAACGATTGTAGGAATTTTTTAGGTGAAGTTCAGGTTTCGAGTTTGAATGTTGCAAAAGAAGGGAATAAATTTCGGTTTGGATTGGATTCTAATTAGCAAAACCGAATTAATTCGGTTTGGTTTGGATTGGACTGAATCTTAATTCAATTTGGATTCGGTTTGAGAAATCCAAAACCGAATTAATTCGGATTGGATTCGATTTTGGCTATAATTCAAACTTAAACCGAACTTTCACCCCTAGTCACGGAAGAATTTTCCATGACACGGTGCAATTTGTCGTGACACGGAAGAGTTTGCCATGACACGACAGAGATTACCGTGGCGCGACATTTCTGTCGCAACACAGCAACTCTGTTTTCCAAAATACCGTCCAGATTCATTTTAACCTTTTACTTAAAATTTAAGCATGTGATAATTAGGCGTCCTTTCAGAGTTCCGGACCTATTTAGGGTTTAATATTTATTAATCGGGCTTAATTAATAAATAAAACAAAATGAATTAAGATAGTTTGGGTTGAAATGTGAGTTGGACTGAGTTTGAATAAATGCTTGGACTGAATATGTTTGACTAAATATGGATTTTAAGCAGTCTAAAGATTAAATACTCGACCCGACCAATAATTGCGGTGAAAGAATGTTCATCATCGGGTTTAGTTTTGGGGAGACATTTTTAGATGTCTACAGAAATCCATTGATCAAAATCGAGTAAGAAATAGTAGCTAGACACTCCGTAATCCATCCCATGAATTTCATAGGAAAACCCAGCTCCTGTAAGACAATTTTCAAAAATCCCCATTCTATCGAGTCATATGCCTTATTTAGATCCACCTTTATCATGCATCTAGGAGAGTTATGAGCTCTGCCATATCCCTTAATCAGTTCGGTACCAAGAAGGATATTGTCAGCAATATGTCTACCTGGAACAAACCCATCTTGACAGTCACAAACCACCTCAGTAATCACTGTCTGCAACCCTAGTGATGATTTTAGGGATTATCTTGTAAATAACAAAGCAGCAAGTGATTGTCCTGAAAGATTTCACATGAGAGGCATTCTCAACTTTTGGAACAAGAGTAACAACAGTTTTATTTATATTATGATCCATTTTACCATTAGCAAAGAAATCCAAAATAGTAGTGTAAACATCCTGCTTAATGATATGCCAAGAATTCTTAAAGAAAACCGAGTTATAGCCATCAAGCCCTGGAGCTTTTGAATCATCAAAAGCTTTAACAATATTGTCAATCTCTTCTGTAGAAACATGAGCACAAAGAGAATCAGCTGCATCTTTAGAAAGTCTGGCGCCATACTTGAGAATAGAGAGATCAAGCATGGGAATAGAGTCTGTAGCTATAGACACCCAATCGTGTCTCCCCAAAAACGAAACCCAATGATGTGTACCTTTCACGTTTTGATAGATGAGTTCGGTAAAGAGTTGAAGAGTCACGTGAAGTTTCCTTAAGCCTTGACCATCTTCCTAACTTTACCCAAAATGTTTTAATCCAAATTATTCATTTCGTGTCCTTCGACTCAAAATTATTCATTTTGTATCCTTAGACTCAAAATCATTCATTTCATGTCCTTGAAATCATTCATTTCGTGCCCAAATTATAAAAAGTCCAAACCAAATTATATTGGTCTATGTTCTCAATAAAATTATTGCATAGTTGGATGAGGCTTGAAAAGAGCTTTCCAACGATATATTATAAGTCCAAATCAGACTTAAAATGAATGAGTTATGGATAAACTACTAAACCGAGCCCAAACCGAGCCTAGGTCCACCATAGCTACGACCCAATGGTTATATGGAGTCCAAATATTTTATTTAGGCCCTATATGATCATAGTCCCAATCCTAAACCAGTTAGGAACTTCTAGAATCCTATAGAAGGTTCTAATCTATACTTCCCAAAAAGATAAAGATCAAAGAGTTCGAGATTGAATAAAACTTCTCTTTCGATAATCCTTATCTCGTTCAAATTCAAAGACGTTCGGATATATTTTACCATCATAATTCCATTAGAAATCAAACTCTGTACAACTTGAATATCCTTTAAAACCAACGCATAGCACCAGAATTCACGCACCACGTCAGCAATGTCGCGGCGCGACAGAAGCCAACGTGGCGCGACAACCCTGTCGCGCCGCGTCAAAAGGTGTTTTACTTCCTGTCAAATTCTGATCTTTTCTGATCGTCCAAAATTTTTTTTTTCCTTATAAATAGAGGTCATTTTCCCCATTCCAGATCATGGACGATAACCATTAATAAGCTAGAACCATCTAGTCACAACCATCATCAATCCTTAGCTACAATCATCATACACCCAATCCGGAATTTTAAATTCCAATATTCTTAGAATATCCTAAACACATCTTTGATTCATCCCAATCATCTACAATACTTCCTTTGTGTGATTCGAATACTCAAAACCATACTCGACGTTGCCTTCGACCTCGACGTGAAAGGTTGATAGTTCTGAGGGTTTGGTCCCAAACTATATATCGATTCATATTTGATTTATTTATATTTAACTTTCTTGTATTTTACTAACATGTGTATTGTTTTGATAGCAAGAAAGTTGAGGCATCAAAGTGAGTAATTAAATTACCCTTTTATTTATTCTTTGATTTTGTAGTAGAAATCATGTTTACAATGTTATGTTAATTCCGAGTTCCATGTTTAGGATGTTATTATGATTTCTAGTATCATGTTTAGGATAACGCTTTGATTTTGTTATTAGTGACATGCTAGGATCGTTATTAATTCGTTTATCATGCCTAAGATCTTACTACTAACAATGCTTTGATGATGTTCTTGTGATGATGATTGTTGTATTGATCATATGTTGCTTGATTATGATTTATTGTTGTTGCTTAATCACGTCCCTCTTTTGTAGGTTTAAAGGGAATTTATACTTGAAATCACGCCTAATAAGATAATTTATAATTTGATTTAGGCTAATATGGTTTTAATTCAAGTGATCACCAATATTAGATTTGATTGTGCATTAATAATCAACCAACGTAGATTAAACAGGTTTAGGGTTAATTTGATGTATGTATGTTGATCGAAAAGCGCGCATGATTATCAATAAAATCAAGTAGAGGCCTATTTAGGGCGGATTTGACTTCTGTTAGGTTAAATTCATACCATCATCCCCGAACATCCAGTTATGGTTCTAGACCAATATGGAGTTAGCAATCTCTGTGATTGTGAATGGGGTGTAACCTTCACAATCGTGAACGGTTTTCAAGTTCCTAAAACTTGTTGGCGACTCTTTTTCTCTAAGTTATTTTCCTTGGAGTGCCTCCATACTTAAAAAACATGACCCACGTGTAGGGCGAGAGGTGAAAAATTCCGTACAGTTTTTGGCGACTCCACTGGGGAGGATTTCTAAATTAATTCTTAATTTGTTTGGCAATTAATTAGAATGAGAGGAAGAGACTTGAAAGATTCTTGATATTGATGTGCGTAATTTTGATTAACATTGTGGCATAAGCATAAAAAGGTACGCATTGGAAAGACCATCCTTAATGCATCAAAACATAGGACATACACGAAGGAAAGGCCGGAAATATTTTTCACTACTAAAATCGAAAAGACGCTACAAAAAATCGAAAAAAACATCAAAATCGAAACTGCCGCAAAGCGTCAGACCTATCGCACAATGTCAGTGACCAACGTCGGGCGACAACCGTGTTACACCGCGACAAGGCTGTTGCCGGACGTTAGTCCTTGCCGACCAGCGATAGTGTCCGATGATTTTGCGCCAGCCTTATGTCTTTGCGTTTTGCCTGGTTCTAGCACCGTTTCGATGATTTTACTTCCTGATTAAGTTTTTTCGACCTTTTTGAACCCATATATGTTTTAAATGTGGTTTTAGCCCATTGGGAATTCACGCTCCGTCCACCCTAAAAACGCTCCGTGCAATAGTGGGTGCATCCGAGTTTGTGAATTCACCAAACCATGAAGTTGAGTTTAACTCATGGAGTCTCGTCCATCGCGCCAACCCTTCTAAGGTAAGGCTTCCGTGCGATGAATCCGGACTCTTAACCATGGACCCTCTTGGACACCACAATTCTTGACCTTAGAGAACTAGAGCCATGGTTAGGTTGCAAACTCATTGCATCATGTAGTGACTACTTGACTACTTGTGCATATCTTACTTATGCATATTTTGTTTGTGATTAAAATAAGCTCTTTGATTGTGATTAAACTAACCCTTTTCTTTCATTTGATTCTTGTACATATGTCTCTACATACTAACCCAAGGACTCAAAGACTTTGCTTAATTAATTTGGTTGATTAATATGAACCCATAAAGTACAAATGTGCTCGACCTAAAAGACTTTTAGGCTTAAACCTTCGAAAGAATGACTTAAAACTAATTGCGGTGACGTTCCAGATTTGACGCGCCACTTTGATCTGCGGCGCAGAATGATGGTAACCATCGCGTCGCAATAGGCTTGTCGTTCCACGATGGAACCATCGTCCTGCGACAAGTCCATTGCCACACGATGGTTCAGTCCTTCTTTCCGAGTCTTCGCATCGAGTCCCACTTTCACGATTAACTAGCTTTAATGTCAATGTATGGTCTATCCCTGGTCTTGTATGGGTTTAACCACATGTCTAGTTACATGGTCATGGCATGAATCTTGTAAATATCACCACCCACGAGTCTTCACACACTTTGTATATACTTTCTTCACACCATGGCCATGTCCTAGGTCCATGCATGTGTCATCCTTTCCGTCATTTGAGTTGAGGGTCATCTTATTCCCTAAAATTTACATATTCTTCCACAAATACATCTTTTCCCTTTACATCACTTTCCATACATTACATACCTCACACTTTCCTTCTTAAACACTTTCCACGTTCACATACTTTCCCTATACACATATACTTTCCTTGCATACTTTCCTTCAACATGCTTTCCCCATACATACCATTCACCTCATATGCTTTCCTTATCTATGCATGTTGAATCGAGTTCGAGTCATCTGATAGACAATAAGTGTCCATGGTTTCCCTTTCTACAACGTTTGGTCAAGAAAAGAGGATCGATTAGTTCGAGACAATTCCTACATACAAGAGATCTTCTTCACGAACACGCTTCAAAGGAAGAAGAAACCAATGTTGGCCAAACAAAAAGATTTTGACAAACTTCAAAAGATCATGGACGGTATTGTCGAGCTTGTCAAAGGACTCACCATTCGAATGGAGAAAGTTGAAGACCCTGATAAGTATGTTCCACCTAAGATAATCAAGCGTATCTAAGAGAGCCTAAGTCAAGTCTCTAATGACTATAAGTATCTCGATATTAAGGGACTACTCTCATTGGACAAAGAACTTCTTCCGCACAAATTCTCAGTCACTGACATCCCTAAGTTCAAAGCCACTGACAATCCTTACTTTCACTTAAAGGCTTTTGAGGCAATCATGGAAATCAAGGGGGTTGATAAGAAAATCTTCCCCTCACTTTTCTTTCTTTCCTTAGAACTAGTATGCCAACAATGGTACTCTTTTGTGGCGTCTGAGAAAATTGCTACTTGGGATAGTATCACGCAAGTTTTCATTGATAGATACAGGTGTAATATCCAAGTGAAGACCGACCATAGAGAGCTCGAGATCCTTAAGCAAAAGGAAAATGAAGGCTTCACTACATTTTATAATAGATGGAAAGAAACTTTTGCCAAGATAATCACTGTCCCAAATGAAAAGGAATCCGTGCGGATATTCATTAGAAATCTCCAAGGTAAGTACCAAAAGCACCTAAAATATCAACTTCTAAACACTTTCAAGGGTGTCTACAATATAGGCATCGAAATTGAGGACGACCTTATGAAATCGGCAATTGCTAACAATAATAATGTGAAAGGAAAGAAGAATGACCATCCTTCTTCTTCCTCTCCCATTAAAGAATTACTTCTACAGATACTCATAAGCGACGAATATAAAGGTCAAAAAGAGTGTTTATTCCTCTTGGCATGAGCTACGAGACAGCCTTCGATAATCTACACCACAAACGACTGGTCATGCCCATAGGACCTATCAAAGACCCAGTCCCGGAGGCCAGCCCACCTCAGTGGGATCCTGATAAACACTGTAAGTACCACCAAGGAAGAGGTCATGATACTGAGGAATGTTGGAAACTCAAAGAATCTATCTAGGATTTGATTGATGATAACAAACTTTCTGAGGTTCTAGCCATAGCAAAAGATCAGATAATCTTTGATCCTTCTCTCCTCATTACATCTATCGATGAGCCCATGATCGAAGAATTCTATATAAATGCCATTAAAGAAGTGACCATAATTAAGGAGGATGAAG